CAGGCGTGGTGTCTATGGAGAGTTTGGACTTGTCCATAGCAGATAGGACAGCTTCTCTGTGTACTCGTGATGCCATTAGCAGTCCCCAGATGGAGATGTCTGCTTGTATCTTCTTTAACTGTTTCAGCACAGCTTCATCTTCAATTTGCTTCTCCTTCTGTCTTTCTGCTTCTCTGTCCTTCTCGGATGCCTCGAGTTGGTCCAGGTGTGGGGGTTTGAAGTACCGCCCACTTCTTGTCATATGGTCAACCTCATCGATGTACCAAGTATCATCCGGCTGGTTATTCCCCCAGTCTTCATCGGTGTGGGCAAGACACAAATCGTCATCTTCCCACCACATTCCACTGGCGGCCAACAGACACCTGTCTGGCTCTGGTTCAGTTGCTCTCTCAATATCCTCTGTCCATATGCTCGCAGCATTCTCCATTTTCGCGCACGCAGCACTTTCGGTCCCCTCAGGGCCCTTAGCTTTTCTAATTCTCTCAGCCTCCTCAAACTTTCCTTGTTCCAGCTGTGTCAGTACAACTGTTTGTTCAACAGTTCCCATATCCATAATGCCCGTGTCCCGAGCGGAATTCTTAACACCGGCGCTCTCCGGTGGTACAACTTGGTTTTCGGCCGTTCTGGCCACAACTGATATTTCCGGCCCTGTCGGGCTCTGTTCTGGTTGGGCTTTCCCCACTGCATCTGGTTGATCCTCGAGCCATCCAGTGGCCTCCTCTGATCCCTCATAATCGTACCAATTGATTGACGCCTCTCCCAGTTCCTGGTCGTCGAGAAATTGCAGGTTGGCAAAGTCTTCCTCTGCGGCTGTCAAATCATCTGCCCATAGCCCAGATCCATCCCCCCGGATCATGCATAGCTCTCCTGTCTTTGGCAATTCTACGCTTAGCCCGGTTCGGCTCGTTGATAGGATATACTTGCTTGGATCATAGGCTTCCCCAGTAAAACTCTGCCCAGTCCCTGATTCAGCAATCTCAGTCTCTCCCAAAATCTGTCCTGCTCCGTCTTCGACGGTCACCACCACCGGTTCTGGTTGGGTTTTGGAGATGTCCACCATGCACAAGAAATCAGTGCAATCGGGGAGGAACACCTCCGGCTTGGGTAGGTGGGTGGGAGTAATATAGATTCTAGGATCGTAAGATGCGACCCCAGTTTGGATAAAGTTAATTCTTTTGGGAGGAGGAGCTTGGTTATGTGGTGGGAGAGGGTTGGTTGTGACATTGGGTTGATCGGGAGGTGCGATCACCTGTTTTTCAATAAGATCTTGGATCTCATGACGCAATCTATAACAACGGTCGGTGTCATGACCGTGTTGTTGGTGGTATGCACAGTATTTTGACGTGTCGTAAGAAGGGGGGAGTGGGTTCGGTAATGGCTTTGGCTCCAGGGGTTTTAAATGATTCTTTCTGATCAATATTCCCAGAACTTTGGTCAGAGGCATATATAGTGGGGTAAAGGTTCTTTGGCCTCGCGGTTGGAATCTGTTGGTGGCTTGTGTGTTGCTTCCGGACGCGCCGGAGAAGGGTGTGGCAGTCATGGGCCTTGGAGGGGGAGGGGGAGTGGTGGTGACCATACTAACTTCCGAGGCTCTCGTATTTGCAGCGCCGCTCGGGCCTGCATTGTTGTTACGGTTAAAGGTCCTCCTCAGTTGTTCTCTGTCGTGGTCAAACAGACCTTGTTTCATTGCGTCCTCGATTTGCACCCCCATATCATGTAAATCTGCGAAAGTAGGGAAGGAGACCACAATCATTCTCAGCATCAGTTTTGGGTGGAGATTGCGCACAATCATCCGGATTTGATCTTTGTCTGTGGGCCTTAAAGTCATTGTTGACGCCTTCGCCCTCTATCGGATCACATAGTCCGAAAAAGATTCCTTGGGCTCTTGCCTTGTCGTTTCGAGATCACGAGTTGTGATCTCGATCTGAGTGTTGTATGAATATTGCGTGACAAAGGCCTCAGCCATCTCATCCCAATTCTTCTTCACTTCATCTTGTAATCTTGCGTACCAATGGGAGGCCACACCCGACAGGGTTCGGCCGAATAATGAAAGCTTCTGTGGTCGTGTTAGGCCCATAAAGAAACAAATTGTAGTTTTCAATTGAAACTCATGAATAAACAACAGATTGGGAGCACACTCTTGGTTATAGTAGTTTTCAAAAGAAACAAATTGTTGGACTTATTGGGATTTAGTGGCAGCAAGCCCCAGTCTGATGCATATTTCAATCTCATATTGTCATACTTGAAGAAAAATTTATAGCATATCCACCTTGCACCTCCCTATCACAGGGCAATGGACATACGACACACTTCCATAAATACCATCCACATTGCATGCTATCTTTATAATCATCCACTAGAATAAACAACTACACACCTGTGTCATGACCTTTGCAATTAACAAATTCACCTCTGCTACTACATACAGACCAATAAAAAACAAACTCAGAAGGATACCAAGAACAAGAAAATAACAAGTGCAACTTACCAGGGCTTGTTGGATGATCTCCCATGACAACATAGTTTAAGGCTTGAAACCTCATCTGCCTACTGCTTTTTTCATTGGGATTCGATAGGTACTTTATTAAAGGGAATCTCCAATCTTCTTCTGTCACATCCAAAGTGAGAATAGGTAGGAAATTCCTACACCTATTTTTAAGTGCAGAAAAATTTCTTTTTTGAATTCGAATCACCCTTTCCTGAGCCCCTTTAGGTATTTTTAGTCCAGAAGCTGCTTGAGCCATTTCATTAGCCTCTTTATTCTCCAGTCTAAACCTATGTGTGAATGTGATATGGTCAAAGAAACTAGTTAACCATTTGACCCCAGTTAAATACTCTTCTAGAGCACCACTGACACATTTGAACTCTCCCATAACTTGTTTAATGACTAACTGGGAATCTCCAAAAACCTGGAGGCTTCTAATCCTGAATTCTATGGCCAATTCTAAACCAATTATCAAGGCTTCATATTCAGCTTGATTACAAGACTGAATATGCTGCTCTTCCAGTTGATAAACAAACTGATACATTTGCCTATTTGGTGCAATTAGCACAACACCTGCCCCCAACCCCTTCATTTATCTTTGTGCCATCAAACATCAACTTCCAAAGTTCATTCTCCACCATATTTACTTCTTATAAATCTGAATCAGCAGATACACAAGGGTGTTCTGCCAGAAAATTAGCCAAAGCTTGCCCTTTGATTGTTTTTTTTGGCTCATACTTGAGACAATATTCAATTAGTGCTAAGATCCATTTGCCTTGCCTTCCTTTCAAGATTAGGTTGGATAACATGTACTTAATCACATTTGTTTGTGCTATCACAAACACTTCTATGGGCAAGCCGCGGGTCCTCCTCAGTACCAATATTCACGGTAATGATTTCATCCGTTAAGGGTTTGACAAATCTCTCCTGCTCCTGCTCATGCTCAATTAAACGTTGCAAAACCGGAGGAATTTCTTCCTCGTCGTTTTCATCAAAATTTTGAAAGTCTGAGTTTATGCAATAAATTAAGGGCACAGAAAAGTACTCAGAAACCACAGTTACTTGATTCTCATTAAGCACATCCAAATCGTCCGAATTCTCGGTTACAACAGACTCAAACGAGAAAGAAAAAGACGACCTGGACATAACTGTGGCATCCGGGTTATCATCTCCAAGATTACCAGACTCAGACTCAGACTCAGTCGAGCTGGAACCTGATTCCGACTCACAAGACTCGGTGGAATCAGATTCCGGCTCACTACCTGACCCGGTGCTGCTGGACAAAAATCCCTTCTCGTACTGCTAAGTAAGAGAGGGTGCGATAGACGCATCCAAAATAGTTACTGGTAGCCCCGCAACTGTTTCATTCCCGATCACGCATACCGAGAAGCTATCTCCCAAGCACTTATGGTCGATCGGAGGATCTGAGAGTAGACTTGCCAGCGCTACCCCCATTTCAATTTCAGCGCCTTCGGAATCCACTGCCTTACACTGCCCAATCTCAGTTGATAGGTCCGTCTGCTCTTCGGCAATATCATCCCCGGGTAGTTGCAGGTCGAAGAAGATCTCGAAACCTGGTACGCGCTTCTTCTCCGCGTTTAGCCACGGCTCCGGAAAGCCGCAAAACGGAAAGTCCTCTCCCTCTCGGACGAAGCGTCCGTTTAGGGTACCCTGAATGGGCCTATGCATTAATTCGAAAGGCTTCCCAACCTGCTTTGCTTTGGCTCTTCCGCCCATTTCCTTACCCTTCCTTACCCAGTCCTCTTTGGTGGGCATATAACCCAAGCCAAAGGTATGAGGGTTGTGTGGCACTTCGGCCAATGCTGCGATGCCCTTCCGGCCGCTCCTTCCTAATCCCATCCCGGGGATGTGTTGTAACTTGTTCATGAGGTAGACGGATTGAGCACTGACGTACACCCCCTCATTCATAGCCATGTGGCACTTCGGCCAATACTGCGATGCCCTTCCGGCCGCTCCTTCCTAATCCCATCCCGGGGATGTGTTGTAACTTGTTCATGAGGTAGACGGATTGAGCACTGACGTACACCCCCTCATTCACAGCCATAATATTCTGCACCACTTGAGCCTCAGCCAAAGTGAACCCTGATAAGAACACATCCTCAGTGCCATGCTCGATTTCTAAGATTGGTGTGGACACTTCTGACGGCGGATAGATTGATGAATTCCCAAAAACAATAGCTACCCCCTTCCCGTGAGGGTACTTCAGCATCTGATGCAAAGTGGAAGAGACTGCCTTGACCTGGTGCAACCACGGTCGCCCCAAGAGTAGGTTGAAGGTTGCGGGAACGTCCAAGACATGAAATTCGACATTGTGTTGTCCTGGACCAACCTTAGTCTGAATCTTGACAGTCCCCATCACTTATCTGCTAGTATTGTCATATGCCCTGATCACCTGAGTAGTCGGCGCGAAGTCCGCGGGCTTCAACCCGATGGCATATGCTGTTCTGGCTGGGCAGACATTAATGGCGGACCCGGTATCAACAAGTACTTGGCATAGCAATTGACTCTTCTTAATCTGGCTTTCCTGTAAGATGGGCGCACATTAAGGGCAGCAGTCCAGTCCTTCATTGCTTTCTCAAATTGACTAAGTTTGGACCTGCAAGTGGCTCTGTTGCACAACAACACCGAGTTGTAGGGGTCATGGCCGAGTCCCTCTCCATATGCAACACAAGCCTCTGAGTATCTTTATCCCCTGAACAAATCGTTACCATTGGATAGAGCCATTGCCACCGCCCGTGTACTCCTAACCACCATGTTCACTTCCTTGCTGCTTGAGTCCAGCCGTGCTGCTCTTTGAGCCGCTGCTATTGCATCATCAAATCTGTCAACATAAATACACGACTTCCCACTTTTTTTTTTTTTTTTTTTATAATCAAAGGTGTTGGATAGTTGTTTTGTTATACCAACAAAACACAATTCAACAAATGAAAAACTAAAAAACAAGAGGTGACCAAACCTTTTGAATAAATTAAATCATATGAATAAATTAAAAAACTATCAAAGGTGTTGGATAGTTGTTTTGTTATATATATCAGTAATTTTTAAAACCTAACTTGATTGGTAATTAGATCATTATGGAATTTGAATAAATTAAATCATATGACCAAACCTTCATTTTTCTTATTATTTTGAACAAATTAAACCTTACAGCCAATTTGATGAGTGCTTGGTGGTATGATTTAATTTGTTTAAATTGTAAAATTATCTTTTTGCCCATTAGGTTAGACTTTGACTGTTATTGCTTTGGACTGGCATCTCCAACTGGATCACATGAAGTGAATTTAGAGACTTTAGAAATTAAGTAGATGAAATTATTGTTTAATAATGAAACAGAAAAAATGACGATAGTTTAGCAGATGAAAGTTCAATTAACCCAAGATGAAATAAGTGAAAACATGGTTACCTTAGAGACAATTTGAAGATAATATAGACATGCTGCATTGTTTGGATCTATATTCATATATTCACCATAGCAACTTTGTTTAGTTGACTGCAAAAGGACATATAAAGATCACATTGTATTTATAATTGTAAGATATGAAGTGAGGTTAATTATGGTAAAGAGTAAAATCATCTTTTGTGTAAAAGCACAATCCCAAGGATAAGGTATTTGGCAAAGCAATGATGAAAGCAAGGATTTTTTTTTTTAGGGTTAATTATATTTTTGATTTCTAAAATATGAGTTTTGTGTCATTTTGATTTTTAATGTTCAAACTGTCAATTTGGTGCCTAATGAATAAAATTTCAATTTGATTTTCAACGTTTAAATTGTGTCAAGTGGAGAAAGAAAGAGACCTCATGCACCCATTTATTACACCGGTGGTGATTCCTATATTTTCTTTTAAATTTTATTTTAGTTCCTCTAATTTTGCACATGATATTTTTTCGTTTAAAATTCTAATGATATATAAGAGAGGGACCACATTACAATAAAATTAAAAGTGTAGGATTCAAATTAAAACTTCAGTTAAACTATAGGGATTAATAATATAATTTACCTCAAAACATTAAAAATAAAGAAAAAAAAATGGAATTGTACCTCATAGATTTCATCTGAAATGAGTGATACACGATGAGCATATGGGATAGCTGAATTTTGGTCATCATGGACATCTGTCACTGGATTGCCCAACAAATATCCCTAATGATCACTCCCATTCAAAGAAAACAAAAATGAAAAATAATAATAATAATAAATAAATAAATAAAATTATGAACTGAAAATTCTTATCTGTTTGGTTGTGTTTTTGTTATTTGTTTTCATTTTTTATTTTTTGAAGACAAAATAATGAAAAGTTTGAAAGTATCCATCATTTTCATTTTTGAGTGAAAAAAAAATTAAAAATAACTTTTTGATGTTCTATTTCCTAAAAATTAATTGTTTTAAAAAAAATCCAAAAAAGTTTCATGAAGAAGGAAAACAAAAAACAAAAAACAAAAAACACAACTAAACAATTGGAATAAGCTGAACACTTGATTAAAGTTTTAAAACTAGATCATGTACTTGTAGGTTCATTGTTGGTTGATGTCCAAGTTCATTACCTACAAAAAACAAAGTTAGTCACCGCAAAGGTAGAAAAGTTTTACCATTTTTTCTATTCTATTTATAAACTACTAATTTCATCTATAAAATTCTGATTTCATTTCATATAATTTAATTGAAAATAGTTCAACCAAACCAATAATCATAGAAACCTAACCAACTGGGCCAAAATATAATTTTACAATTTTAACAACATAAATCACACAACCAAACTCCTATCTTTGGACTTATGCTATATTAAACAATTTACACTCTATAGCCAAACACATAGGTTGATTATATTGTTTCAGTTGTTCAAATTTTGAAATGACATTTCTACTCATCAAATTAGGATTTAACAATTATTGATTTGGACAACTGTCTCTAATTAGACCACATCAGCTGAAATTAGAAATAGAGACTTAATAGATGAAATTAATAATTTAAGGATAAAATAAAAACAAGGAAGATAATTTAAGAGATAAAAATAAAGTTAGTAAAAATGATAAGAAAAAATTTTTTTGTGAACACAAGGTACCGGTTAAAATTTCCTGAACAATGATGGAACAACCAAACCAGAGTAGGAGTCACCACCAATGTACAATGGATTATCAAGAAACTTGAGATGATCAATCAGCCACCATGTCACAATAAAATAAAATAAATGAGATGAAGAGTTTAATTAGTTTTAACTATAAGAATGCAATAATAGTGCAATTAACCTTTTTCCATCCAAACAAGAAATATAAACCAAGAGTAAATCAAAAGTGGACACAGAATTTTCACATTATGGAATACAAATTATCTCAGATTTGTGTCCCATTCTTCAACAATTCATTTGTTTGCTATTTATTTGATTTTCCCCCAAAATCAAACTAAACTAACCCAAAATACCAAAGACAGGCTCATTTTAACTGAACCCATATAATGAAAAACCAATACTCAAAATTTCTATAGTTTGATTGATTATTCCTGCATTTTCTTAGCACCCAAACAGAAATAACTATAATATAAAATGAGGAAATCTTCTTACCTTCATCTTGAGGCAACTCTGACTCGGAAAATCTCAATGGCCATAAGCAACTCAGTCCAATAATCAAAAGCACAACAGTGTTTCTATGAAGAATAAGAAGAGAAGAGAAGAAGAGAAGAGAAAAATACCAAACAATATAGCAATGTTTCACACAGGTATTTTATCAAACACAAGAAGGGCTTTTACACCGTCTCCCTCGCCCAACCCTCTTATAGCACCCCAACCTCTTCATTCCCCTTAGGAACCCCTATCCCACCTGGTTACACTTCCCCTTCCGCCCCTTGCCACAGCCCCTCCAACCCTCTACTACCATAGATCCATTGCCTCCTTCCCTCTTATCCACAATCACAAAACTACTCTGTTTCTCCACCACAAATCTGAAATGCCTGCCCTTTCCCTCCCTACTATAGCACTGCTAGCCCTCTTCTTCTCACACCGCACCTCCGTTACACCATTCCATCCCCACCATAGCGCCACCACGTTACCGAAAACCCTTACCCCACCATTAAACAACAGAGAGAGAGAGAGAGAGAGAG